TTTACAAAAGTAACTGAAGCTGCAAGTTTCGATACTCATGCTCTAACCGCTCAGTATCTTTAATTTGTATAAGAAATAAAGTTAACATATATAAAGATTTTACCTAGAAATATTATATGTAAGATTAATTTATCTAGTATAGATTTAATTAAATGAACACAATTATATAATTATTTTTCAGAGTTGTTATTTAAGTATTCTACAATATCTTGAGTGAGCCCGTCAGCTTGAAATAAATCTTGAGGAAGCAGATACAACCTGATAAATTCACACTTTGTGTGACATCAATTTATTTCTCAGGTAGTGTAAACAGAATTAAGTATTATTCCGCAGTTTATCTTACCGTTATATAGAGAATCTACCGAATTTAATCTTTCTGGAAATCGGTTTTCCTGAAAATACCACAATAACAAGGAATCATCAGTCAAAGACTTAGATAAGTAACATTTTTTTAGGCTGGTGGACACTGCCATCGTTTCGTTGAGATATAGACATAAATATAAAGTAACAGAATTCACCAGTGCAGCATGAGATTATATATATATATAGTTAAATACTTAGAGAGTAACTCCGTTTGCTGGTGGGGACTTTCTTTTATTCTTGTTTGAGATATGGAATAACTCGTACAAGAAGCTGCGGACAGGACTCACAGAAAAGCAAGAGGCCACACAGTCTTACTACTCTAATATATATATATATACACATATATTAAAGTTCTACGCACTAAATTTTATCGATCTCAAATTTAGTTTCTAGGATCATATAACTAACACGACAACTAACCAACACAAAGGAAGTTATTTCTACTCCCACATAAATCAGTCACACTTTCAACAAAAAAGAAAAGACCTAACAGTAAAATTTTCGTCACTTCCTGGTCAAAGCGATAGGAATTTTCGACTCTGGATAGTTAAAAAAAAAAAGACTTAGCAATACATAAGCCTTATTATCATTAAATGTCTATGGATTTAATTCTAATCCATGGCACAGTGGTTTCATGTTATTAGTTTCGAACTTTGTCGGCCATTTTTCGTATGTGGAATTTGCTTTCATGTGTTACTATAAAAGAACCTATAATTATCTTACGCCCTCCGGTGGCACAGCGGTATGTCTGCAGACTTACAACGCTAGAATCCGGGTTTCGATACCCGTGTGGGCAGAGCACAGATAGCCCATTGTGTAGCTTTGTGTTTAATTACAAACAAACAAACAATTATCTTACAAACCAGTGTTGAGCATATTCTTTGTTTCTAAACAACAAAAAATAAAAACTGTCAAACTCTTCAAATAGAACAATAATTTACGAAGAGGAAACGCAACTGACGCCAACGTAAAAGGTTTTAGTAAAGAACCCCGCGTCGAAGTCATTCTGCTGTGAGAAACATTGTATTCTGAAAAATGCGTTTATCGTTCTTTTTTACTTAAAAGAGATTACTTTTAATTTTATAATTCTCTACACAGTGAATATTATGCTATAAGCTACTGGTTTTCGTAGTAACTAACGCCATAGAGGGAACTGGTGCAAGAACTGTGGTCACATCGTAAAAATAAACCCACGTGTACTTTATGCTGCACAGAGGAATCAATATTAACAGTTCGAAATATCGTTTCGCTTCTATAAACAACGGTGTTTGTTAGAGACCGAAGAAAGGGGATTGAAACATCTCTGAAACAAATATATACATATATACTGTATGTATCATCCATGCAGGTTTATTCTTTTTACTTGCGAGTTGTAGGGCTCTTTTATGTGATGCATTCTGAAAATGCGAAACCGATAAGAAATAAAAATATAAGCTGGCATATGAACATACATACACACAAACACTTCTGTTGGCCAAAGCGGATTTCTGTTACGTTAATATTTGTTGTTATTTAAAGATATAACCATTTTTCAACCCTTAAAACAGAAAGCTACATCAAAAATCCTTTTTTTTTTAAAGAAACCATCCTTTTTTCTTCTCACTTACCTTTCTACCTTCAGTTCTACCTCCTTTTATAGAAATGCTGTGTTGTCATTTAGATACAATTCTTTGAAAGAAATCTTCTGCTAAAGTTATAATACCTTTAGAAGAATTACTTATGTGAAGCGAACTTCCAAACAAAAATAATTGACCGTGTTTTGACTAATGCACCTCTGTATTTCAGCGAGAATAAGTATGCGTGCTTCTTAGGTTTATGTAAGATAAGTTTTCTAAAAACTAGTTGGCGATGAATGCTGGTTTTCGGTTAAATTTAACTTATGAACTTCACAATTATATCGAATAAAATAAGAAACGTGTGTAATCTTCTGTTAACTTTGACTCTTAAAAGTCAATGAACCAATTCACTTGATCCACCATTAAAATAACAATTTCTTAAATATTTTAGTGGCGTTATATACAACCGACTCACATGGCAAGTTTTGTTGGTTCCAGAAATGAAGATGACAGCTGTAAGCAGTTTATTTATTAATCCACATTTTTCTTCTGTTCTTCCCATTCCAATTTCACATATAGGACCTAAACAAAGATATCACTTATAATTTACACTCAATAATAAATTCTGGGCTTTACGTTATCACTAATAATAAATAAGTTTAACAACTTTCTTGGACCACTAATATTACCATAATGAACATAACGTGTATATATATCTATTTATCTATGTATGTGACCTAAATAATTTCACACTTTGGGTATTTAAGATTCAGACAATTATCGAAATAACTACGGTACGTGCAACAAACATTTCTTTATCACAAAACACAATTTTAAATAAAAGTACTCTACTCATAACAAGAACACGACTTTCACTAGGACTGTACGTGAGGGTTTGATTATATCTTTATTGAGGTAATTTGTAAATATCGTACTAAAAGAATGGAGTTCTTAAAGCTAACTGTAAATTTTTCAATAAACAGTACAGTCTATATCAACACTATCCGAACACTTTTCCTATGCAGTACTTCCCAGAAAAAAATCCTTTTTAAAAAATTTTTATTTTTCTAAATTTGTTTGATTGAAGTATGAATACTACGATTAGTAAATACTAGTACAAACAGCCACCCATAGGGCGGCATTTCTGCTAGTAGATATAATCATTGCTTTTGTTGTTCCAACTTCCATGGCATTCTAAATTTCCATTTACTCAAACCTTTGGACTGTGTTGTATAAATTTTCGATCAAAAAACTTGGGCTGATGAAATTGGAGAATTTGTGTACAAGGTGTGATGCAGGTTACATTACATTCAGAATTTAACACATTAGTGTAGTTTCATAACATGTTGCTGATCATCCGTGTATTAGAAGGTATATGGTCATTTGAACACTTCAAGGCCACTTAAATATTATAAATACTAATTGTCACCATCTGGTTCGTTACACATTCTGTATACCGAGCCTGGAGAGGTTAACTTCAAACAGCTGAATTCATACACATTCTGTATACCGAGTCTAGAGAGGTTAACTTCAAACAGCTGAATTCATACACATTCTGTATACCGAGCCTGGAGAGGTTAACTTCAAACAGCTGAATTCATTTCACTTATTCTGGCTTACACACGAAAAATTTTGGTAATTGCGGTGGATCAGTGTTTAATTATTACTGGAATATTTAGGTATGGTATTATATAGGATGGGTGCTTTTATTAATATAGCCCCCAATGACTGAACAGAAATGCTGCGTGCTCACAATGCTAAGAGTCAGGTTTTGATACCCGTGGTGGGCAGAGCACAGATAGCTCATTGTGTAGCTTTGTGCTAAACAACAAAACTCCAAGTTATTAAGTAAAAATTGTTTATTTAATAATTATTTCGACTTTTACTTCATAAATAACATCCTTTTAATTATATTATTAATAGTTTTGGGCAGTGATATTTTTTTTCTGGGAAAAAGGTCCGGGACTATCCTGTAATTTCTATAACTTTTTCTAATCGTTACCCTGTCCTACCCCACGTCCATTTTCAATCCAAAGAAGTTCCTCCTATAATGTTTAAAAAATTGTCATGTAACAAACAAACAATAAAAAAAACAATGGAAATTGTTTAATTTCTTTAATATTACTTAGTGGGCGGAAAAACATTTGATGACACGAACACTATATGTACAGTAAATTACATAAATAAAATTATTCTATCTTACCAGTTTGTTTTTTGAATTTCGCGCAAAGCTTCACAGAGGGCTATCTGCACTAGCTATCTCTAATTTAGCAGTTAACGACTAGAAGGAAGGCAGCTAGTCATCAACACACCCACCGCCAACTCTTGGGCTATTCTTTTACCAACGAATAGTGAGATTGACCGTCACATTATAAAGCCCCCACGGCTGAAAGGGCGAGCATGTTTGGTGGGACGGGGATTCGAACCCGCAGATTGCGAGTCGAGCTCCCTAACCACCTGGACATGCCGGGCCTAGTTTGTTCGTTATTCGCAACTTTATTCCTCGCTTGTACTACTACTAGTAGTAACCCAATGCAATTTTTCAGAATGGTCTTATCCCGACAACGCATTTTGAGGTCAACATAAAAGTATTGAATTTATAAAATCGTCTCCTTAACTTGATAAACATACAATACAGTACTCAATTTTTATTTATTTAATTCGCTGCAAAATAATACATTTAGTGCTTTGTATTGTTGCGTCAGCGAGGTCACGTGACTAGTATCACGCCACATCTTTCTCGAACCTTCGTGAATTGTCGGGAGATTACTAGATTGGGGGTAGTCTGGTATATATAAGATGGTCACAACGTGACGGGACAA